GTTTTTTTCCCCCCAGAGTTCAAATATGGAAAGGCTCCCATTCTTATTGCTACAGATGTTGCTTCCAGGGGTCTAGGTCAGTATCCTCCCTGAACTGTTATGCATTCAACTGTTTTTCAAAAAGAAAGTGTATTTGCTTTCTTTAACTTTTCTGCTTCTCTCTGAGTTTCTCCCCTGACCTGAAGGGGCAGGGCCTTGGCATGACAAGCCCAGGTCTCCAGAGGGGGAAGGAGGATTCTTGGAGGTGTCCTGACTGGCGAGGCACGGGTCTCCCAGTCGTGCAGATAAACAGAGGTGACCAGGCCCAAGTGCAGCATAACGTGCCGGCCTGCCTAAAAAAGGGGGGGCGAGTTGAGGGCTGGCCACAGTTCCTCCCCCCTACGCTCGTCTGTTCTCTGGCAATGGTTTGGACTGCTTCACACACCCAGGCTCTGTAACTGTCCCAGCTCAAAGCCCAGCTACACTGTCTCCTAATGTCTTGCATATTGGTTTGGGCACTGCATTGCAAGCCATTCGAGTCATTTGGAAGGTGCTTTTTGTTGCATAGACTCGTTGTAAAGCATGGGTGGCGTCACTGTTGCAGTCTCCTAAACTTCTGTCGGAAGAGCAGTCTGTCAGATCGATCATACCATCACCTCTGTAGAGACATGGCTACTGGCGCTTTAGGTGACAGTGGGACATGCTAGTTGGACACTTGGGCAAAAATCCAAGCTCACACTCCTCCCTCGCCTGCGTTTCAAAGTCATGTCGAGACCTGCCAACGAGAGACATTTTGACCAAGTGAGCACTGAGTCTGGAAAAATCTTGCCATGCCGAGAGCGGGGGTGCTTTGTTTGTAGGCATCCTGCAAATTGGTTCAGAGCTACAGTTTTTTTTTTACATTTTTGTTTTTGGCAAGAGACTCTGCAGTGTGAGGATTGTAGCAAGCAGCTCATGAGACACTGGTTCAATGCTAGCTTGAGAACTCCAGGAGGCAGTAGTGTGGGGGTCACTTGACAATGTATGGGAATGGGCTAGTGAATGCATACTCCAAAAAATGGTAAGATTTCTGATCCATTCTTTCTGAAGGTGGTTTGGTAGTTGGGATTGTTATTAAATCTCACAGAATTGAAAGCTGATGGAGTGTGCATCTTTTCTTTCCCACCATAGTCTCCCCGAACAGTAAATGTCCGTAGCTTTACCTAACGTGTATTTTTTACAGTTTGTGATTGAACTGGCCACACCCACCTCATGACTGCACTAACTTGGCCTCTTTGTTTTTGATCTGGTTGTGGTGGCGTTGGCGCACGTCCTTTGTGTGCTGTCCTCTTCCTTTATGCCACGTCGCAACACAATCTTACAGATGTTGAAGACGTGAAATTTGTCATCAACTTTGACTACCCCAACAACTCAGAGGACTATATCCACCGCATTGGCAGAACAGCTCGTAGTCAAAAGACAGGCACAGCTTATACCTTCTTCACTCCCAACAACATGAGGCAGGCCAGCGACCTCATCTCTGTGCTCCGCGAGGCCAACCAGGCGATCAACCCCAAGCTCCTCCAAATGGCAGAAGACAGAGGAGGTAAATCCAATTGGTGAGATACAGAAACTGTGCTGTTAAGTGCAGCCACTCTTTCCCTGCTGCTCTCCCTTTAGTCTTTCTCACAGTTCATTGGCTCACAAGCCAGTTTCTGGTTTTAACACATTTATTTTGAAAACGCAACTGCGGATAGTTTCTCTTCTAAAAAAAATAAATGTTTTCTTTTCCAGGTCGTTCAAGGGGAGGCCGAGGTGGTGATTACAGGGATAGGTATTCCTCTGGAAGACGCGATTTTGGCAGTTTTAGGGATAGGGATAATGGTAGAGGGTTTGACAACGGACCAAATAAATTTGGCACAAACACACAAAATGGAGGCTATGGGAACAGCAATGGCAACGGCAGCAGCAATGGTTACGGTGGAGGCAGCTTTAATGGTAACGGACAGTCCAGCTTTACTACCAACCAGACCGGAGCCTTTGGAGCCCAGAACAACTTCCAGGCTCCGCAGTTTGCCCCCGTTAAGGCTGGCGCACAGAACGGCGCAAGTCACCCCCCTTTCCCCTTCCCCCAGGCACCGGCTCCACAGCAGCATCCTCCGCCACTGGTGCCGTACGCCATGCCTCCTCAGTTCACTCAGTAAACGCACCACACACACTTGAAAGTAATTTATTGCTTTTTTGTCCTGTTCAGTTCTATAGTTCCAGATTTTTTGTATTTACAGAACAGGGTTGCAAACAACATGGACCTCTGTCAAGCCTTTTATGATCTGCAGTGCTGCACTAGTGGTGCTGCGCCCTTCTGTTCCTCTTACTATTTAATTTGTTACATTCCTTTAGTAATATTCTGTTATGTTTTGTACTAGGTAATTACAATTGTATTGGTTTTTCACGTGTTTCCTTGAAAGTGATGTTAAGCTCCTACCCTGGAAGTGCACTGCATGATCTTTCAAATAAACCGAAAAAAAGAAAAAGTTGCTTGTTGTTTTTTTTTTCTCTGAACTTAAAATCACTTCCTGGTTAGAACAATGCTTTTAGAAGTTACAGAACTACCTGCTCTGTCCAGCAGGTGTCGTGTTCATCAAACAACATCTCTGACATCTTCACATTATGAAAACACCCCTGATATTATTCTGTCTCTTAATATGAACGAATTTAAACTAATGACTCAGAAATCAATCAGATCCACTCATCACCTGCTCAGTGACGGGGCTCGGTAACTTGTTCTCCCTGTCGGTCTCGTGCCGTCACATGCTGATGACTCGTTAAAGCTGCGTCCTCCCCACACTAGTGACCTTTCAATGACTCATTGAGCTTCTGACAATCATCTCAAAACTAATTTCTGAACACAACAGATCAATTTCCTGTTCAGATCACACTTCAGCTTCCTGTAACCTGGAAGACTGTCTCCCCCCTGTGGTGGAAAACCAAACTCTCCATCTTGAACACAAGTGCTTCGCCCATGTTGTCGGTCTGAGGAGAATCAGGGTTTCATTATTATCTATTATTCAGCAACTTCTGAGAGTAAGACCCATATTTTCAGCAGCCTGTGGTCGATCAGCTTCACAACAACGTCTCATTATCACATGAACATTATTGATGGTTGCCTCCATCCACTGGTGACCCCTGACATCTGTAAAAACAAGATATAAAACCAGGATTTGAGAAGCAACACCTTGAGAAAAAAGTTTTGTCCTGAGCCCCTGAACCTTCAGGCGTCTGCGGCCCCTCGCGCGTTTGGTACCAGTGTGACGTCACTAAGCGGAGCGGAGCTGCAGGAACCCGAGGAGCTCCACCTGCTCCACCACCGCGTGCGCGACGAAGAGCTGGTCACAGGTCGGTGGCTCCTGCTGATGGCAGATCAGAGCTGCAGGTGAACAGGTGCCGTGGGTGCGGCTGCATCAAAATTGCTTTTCCACATATTTACAGAGCAACGACGTGGAAGTATGCGTGGAACGCTCTCTGAGGAAATACTCCAGAGCAATCTTTTTTTTTTTACACCTCACCTGACAGATGAGCCACACCCTGCTGCTGCCGAAGGCCCCATTTTGACAGGTATAGTAAGATAACGTTGACAGTGGATACGTGCATGTTAATCATCGTTCTTTTTATTATTCACAAATGTCTTGTGTGAAACCGAAGAACCACAGTGACACGCTGCACCCGCCGGGCTTATCTCACTCCGATTGCACAACGTGGAGTTCAAACAGGTGGGCCGGAGCCGGAGCACAGGGACGGACACACATTAATGCAAACACGTTTTTTCACGGCAGGTTCTCGTGGCACCGTGTCCAGCAGCGGCTGAGACGAGCTGCAGCTGCAGGAGATGCTCCTCGGCAGGTTCCTCCCTGTGAGCGACACACAACTCAACATCTGGCAGCGAAGGTCGAGGCCAAGTGACACGTTCACGCTTCCCTCGCCTGCCACTCACTCTTACCTCCCGCTGCGTGAACCCTCCCCGCGCCTGCAGGTATGTGGGTGTGGGTTTGAGGAGTGACTGCTGTGGGTGTGCGTCGTACACACCCACAGCAAGCATGAGACTGAGCAGCATGCTGAGCCATTTATCTGCTGCATCCCACCACCCACCACCCACCACCCGCTCCAGTTTGAGCAGATGTGGGTTTAGTCTCTCAACACAGACCTTTCACGCCCTCTCATGGGACACTGAGCTGCAGCTCGGGATCTCTATCTTCTTTTGTCTGGCAGCAGGTGAAGCCTGCATTCCTCTCGCAGACCTTCACTCCACACAAGCATGCCACAGAGGTCACTGCACGGGGGGCCGTGTGTCTGATAACGACTGACATTAAGGATCTCTCACACACTGTTTGCACCAGTTTTAAAAAAGGCCATTAATTAGACACTGATGATTTCACTGGCTGCAAAACTCAGCATGAGCCCCCTCCCCCCTCCCGTACCCCTCTACTCCGATTCAATCTTATCCTTACCCTCTAGAAGTGAAATAACAGATTCGATATTTTATCCTCTGCTCTTGTTTTCAGTCATGCGTCTCTGACAGAACTTTGGTTTCAGGTGTTTTACCCGATAAGTGACACACGACACACATTAAAACCTTGAGAGACATTTGGTGTCATGTTGAAGTGATAATCTGGATTTCCAGCCGTCGGAGACTCGTTCTGCTGCATTCCTGCTCTCAGAAAAACACTGAGGGCTTTCAAGATGTTTTTTTGTGCAGCTGATAACAGATAGCTCCACAGATTATTCATACACAGACAGGTGTACATGTAGAGTCAGAAACTCACAACGCCGATCAGAAGGTTCATCCAGATACTCATCAAAATATCACTGGAGACTCTTTTCTTTTTTTTTTTTCAGGGATCACGCTTTAGAGAAACCCACACATTTATGAAGTGGACATGCAGGGAGGACGAGCTGCTGGAATATCAAGTCATAGTCAGAGGACGTGAGCGGAACAGGTCCGTCCGGTCTGCTCCTCCTCCAGAGACACACCTGCTGGTTCTGGGAGGAGCTGAGACAGGTGGACGCTCAACTGGAAAGGGAGACGCCGCGAGAGACAGTGGCAGTGAGAGGACGAGGAAGAGAGGAGAGGAGAGAGAGTGAGTGAGTGAGTGAGTGAGGAGTTGGAAGAAATACAACTCAGATCACAGGGACGGGCCTGGACGCTGTGGCAGGATGTCGAAGAATAAGGAAAACACTCAAATGAAGATCAGCAAGTGAGTTTCGGAGAGCTTCCTGTGTGTGAGTGTGTGTGTGTGTGTGTGTGTGTGTGTGTGTGTGTGTGTGTGTGTGTCTTAAATTACTTTCTCTTGTCTCACACTTTGTTGTTTTCACCCTTCAGGGCTAAATCTGCTTCGTGCGGGCTTTTATCTCCCAGTTCATGTTTGCACAGGACAGGGCTGTTTCCCCCCCCACGCAGTAACAATGTTCCTCAGGTGTCACATTAAGCAACGATGATCCTACAGTTAGAAATAATCTGTGTTTAACACAGATTCCTGACTTTCACTCGTTCGTTAGAAAGGCTGGAGGAGCTGGAGGAGCTGGAGGAGCTGGAGGAGCTGGAGGAGCTGGAGGGGCCTCATGCAGAATGAATGAACCTCCCTTCAGTCTTTTCTCGTTCACCCTGTTACTCACTGAGTGTTTACTGATGCCACCTCACCTGCTTACCTGCCTTAACCACATTGCATTCATCTGTATCTTTGTCCAAGGGGTGTATCATGCAATTGGACCGACACCCATTCGGCCACAGATGTGACTCACTGAGCCGACAGGTCACCAGTTTATATCTGTGAACCACAGTAACACACAGTGTGAGTTTCTATCTGTGAACCACAGTAACACACAGTGTGAGTTTCTATCTGTGAACCACTGTAACACACAGTGTGTTTCTATCTGTGAACCACAGTAACACACAGTGTGTGTTTCTATCTGTGAACCACAGTAACACACAGTGAGTTTTATCGTGGAGCTGCTGTGCTCTTGTTTTCTGAAGTGATTCATGGTAATAAACGTGTCCTCTCCTGAGATGTTGTGCAACCTCAGCCCCCCCCACCTCTCTCTCGCTGTGACTAAGTGGGTGCATGCTGTTGAACATCGATGCTGCTTCACTGTGGGCGTGCACACGAAACCAAAGGCCTGAGATTGAGACCCGACAGAGACAGTGAAGGGACGAGGGAGTGGCAGGGCAGGGTCTCTCTGCAGCTTCGTCTGTTTGTCTTCAGCCGGGCTGTGACTTGAGTGTGGGGGGGTGGGTGGGTGATCGGGGGGGGGTCTGTGTGAAGCTTCTCTGAAATACATTCATAATGTTATGATGAATGAAGCCCCCCCCCCCGTGTGTTGAACTTCTGCAGCAGAGTTAAGATGCTGTCATAGAGGAAGTACTCAGATCCTTTAATTAAGTAGAAGTACTAACTCCGCAGTAACTATACTCTATTACAAGTAGAGTCGTTTTCAATATAGAAACATGTTCCCTCTGACATTTTATCATCAGATTATTACACTTGCATTCACGTTTAGTTTAGTTTAGATCAACACGAGAGGCAGAAAACACAGAGGGCCTATTTTCAAGCATCAACCTGGATATTGTTCCAGTTTCAGACAATACAAAGTTTACACGCAGAAACGTATATGACTTCTTATGAGGAGTTCACTTTACAATAACATGAAGCTTCCTCACTTACTCTGTGAAGTAAAGCTACAGTGCTTTCAGAGCGTCCACAGGCCAGTGTCTGCTGTGCTGCAGCTTTGTGCTGAGATTGTTCGTAAACTCACGACATTTATTAGAACAGAAGAAACAGAAATATCTCACTGACAGAAGTTCTCATATACGTTTGATCCGGACTGAGTTCCAGAGGTCGTCTGTCGAGCGAGGAGAACCCTCACGTCCTCGGTCTGGGTTTAGTGGCAGAGGGACGGGACCTGAAAGACTCTCAGGCTGTGAGACACAAGATTCTCTGCTCTGTTGAGATCAAGGCCGAACAAAGTTTGGAACAAAGTACAGAGACGTGCTCAGGACTTCACACCGGGCCAAAGGTTCACGTCCCTGCACAATAATAACCCTGAGTGGTTCCAGCAAATCTAACAAACAGTTGAGTTACACTGAAGAAGACTTGAGGCTGAAGTCGCTGAGTAAAAGCTCCGAACACTTACGTCAATGTGATGTGTCAGATTTGCTTCAAATTAAAAAAAAACGCCGTATTGACTTTGAGATTATTTGGCAGATTGTTTTATCATAAGTACTTCAAATACTTTCAAAAACTCAAGTCGATGTACTTGTACAATAAAAATGCCACTGCAGGGAGTAACCCCCCCCCCCCCCACCTACTATCAGCAGTGATATCTGACTACAAGTGTCTTGATAAGAGCTGGATTCCTCTCAGCTGGAATGTCTGTGTCACATTCTTGCGACACTCCCCCCTCGACTATGTGTCCCTCGGGTCTCGATCAGGGTGTGTCAGGGTAAATAGTTGGCTCTCGTATCACATCGCCAGGTTTGACAGAACAAACAGTCAAGAGAACACAAACAGGTCGGCAGAGCGAGAGACGAGGAAATAGTTTCTGTCGCCCGTGTTTCATGTTCACATCTGAAACAATGACTTTAGTCTCTCGTCTTTCCTCATGTGTCGAATGTCCAGTGACACGAAATCAGATTATGAATATAGATAAACATCACAAACCCAGTGAAAGCAACTCAAGCACTGTAACTTAAAGGTTTTTGTACCTAACGTTTACATTTTCACGTGATGCTACTTGAAACTTCTAATATTAAACTATTAAAGACCCCAAAGTATTAATACTAGTTATGATTCAAATTCTTGTAAAAATGAAAATCTCATGATGTAACTCTGCATTTTGATAATTTAAGTGCATTTAGCTGCTGACACTTTATTTTCATTCTTGTGCTTGGAAAGTAATTCAAAGCTAAAACACATTAGAAATAGATTTGCAAAACATTTCCGTGGATTTAGGAAATTAGTTTTGTGACATCTTGCAAAGGATGCAGGTTTCTGTGCAGAATGAAATGTTTGACCATCATGTCTCTCTCTCTCTCTCTCTCTCTCTCTCTCAGGACTCAGGCCAACGACCTGGCCGTGCTGATCGCTCGCATGCAGCAGAATGCAGACCAGGTGGAGAAGAACATCCTGCGATCAGAGGAGCATCTGGCTTTGGTAAGAGTCACAATCAGAAGTTGGTTTACCGATACAAGACATGTGTGTTTGTGCAGAAGCATAAATACAAAATAAAGGAACAGTATAGAAAACACTACAAAAAAAAAAAAAGATATGTGCAATTTAACCTGTGTGAAGTATGACCGTCCTGTAAACCTCAACCCTGGCGTCCCTCAGGCTGCTGTTAGGTAGGAAATCACACGTGTAATTTATTTATTTAAGTATTTTTATTGGATTTACAGTAAACAAGCATGAATCAGTGCTTCCTTCTAAAAAAGATGTCACTAAAACTCACTGTGAAATAATAAAAACACCTCTGACACAGTATATAACTAATATAACAAATACAAATGTACTATTCTTCTGATTCAAACTGATTATCAACTGCAACAGGCATAAGATGTGACTTCAAAAGTTTTTACCGTCAGTTATAAAAAGCAGAGAATGGAGCGATTCCAAGCTGAAAGGTTTTCATCAGTATTATCTTCCTCCTGCTGCTCGTCAGGACACAGAGCGTGAACGGAAGAACCAGCAGCTCATCCACCAGAGGGAGAACGCAGAAGACCTGACGCAGGCCGAGGGGCTGCTGAAAGAACTCTTCATGGACGTGGACAGAGCCAAGAAGCTGGGGCACCCACAGGTCAACGAGATCGAGAGAGAGTGAGTTTCATCAGGGGCATCGAGCCGAGGCTCTTACTCCCACAATGCCCTTCACCGTTATCCTCCACCTGTCCACCTGTCCATCCACTGAAACACCTGATTCTCCTGTTTCCAGTGTGAAGAATCTGCACGACCGCTGGGCGAAGGATTGCGCCACCTACAGGGAGCTGTATGACCAGAAGCAGGACTTGGAGTTGTCACAGAAGATTGGCTGGGGTCCTCTGCTGGATGAAAAATTGGTCAGTGGACGCAACATCAGACTCAAGAAGATCTGAACCTTCTCCTCCGAGTCAGGGGCTGAGGAGTTTTTTCCGCTGTGTCATGTTTTACAGAAACAGCTGAAGGCAGAACCGTATGGCCCCAAACTGTCTGACGTGGAGAAGCAGATCGCTGCACACAACATTCTTCACCAGGAGTTCGAAGCCTACAGTAACCAGCTGCACCCCGGCACCACCAGCTCACAGGTAGCAGCACACCACGACACGTGTGTGCGTGCACTCTGCAGAACAACGCGCAGGATCAGTCATGTTCATGTTGCTTCTTCTCCTTTCATTTCAGGAGCAGTACGCCGCCGTCAAAGAGCAATATGCTAAACTTCTGGTGAGTTTTTTTCCTTCAGTGTGTCTGCAGGAGTTCATACACGTGTGTGCACACGCATGTGTCTTTATCTGACATGCATCTTTTTGTGTGTTTTACAGGAGAGATCCCAGCAGAGGCGCAACAACCTGTCCTCTCTGTACGAGTACATGCAGAACTGCAGCAAGGAGCTGGTCTACCTGTCGGGGCAGCAGGAGAGGATCCTCCAGAGAGACTGGAGCGATCGCATGGTCGACCCCCCGGGGGTCCGCATGGAGTATGAGGTGAGGGGCCAGCGAGGTGCATGTGTGCAGAAGAACATTAAAACTCTGTTTGACAACGCGTCTTCAAGAATTGTCCTCTTGGTCCCAGCAGCACCGGCTCCCTCGCTGACGCTGAGCAACTCCTTAGCCACTGGGAGAAATGTATTTGAATACTTTAAACACTATGTCGGGTTTTCTTCATCCCTCTTTATGCTTTTGCACAGAAATTCAAGAATAACGGACTGCTCGCACATGAGACCGAGATCAACCAGCTGCACGAGGCAGGAGATCGTCTGGTTAAGATGAATCACCCTGGAATCCCAACGATCAAGGTGCGCTGCGTCACACATGAGGATTTGTTGTGGTCAAATACACTGAAATCAGATGAAACTGAACTGAAGGCGTTTGTTTCATCAGGCTCACAAAGAATCGGTGCAGAACGAGTGGCAGGCCTTTCTCAACCTGTGCCTGGCACAGGAAACACATCTGGACAACATCGAGGACTACAAGAAGGTACAGGACCTGTGACGTCACCTCGCTGCCGCTGACTCTGACATCGTTCTTCCGTTAAATCATTTGCGTCGTGTCCGTTTGCAGTTCCAGCTGGATGCAGAGACGCTGTCCGAGTCCCTGGAAAGACTCAACTCCAACATGGACCCAAAAGCTCTGGCGAAGAAGAGCAACCCTGAAGTCCTGCTCGCCCTGGAGGTACAACCATTTTTTTTACAGAGTCTCCAAGGGGTCGGCACACTGTGCTTTGTGATTTTTACAGCAGCTGTAGGCGTAAAAATACATATTATTACTGGTCCTGATGAGGCAGGTGGTGGCCTCACAGCAAGAAAGTTCATAGTTTGACTCCAGCTCCCCCTCAAGACCCTCGAAACATAATTGGTATAGACGATGGGTGGATGGTGGAGGTCTGGGGTAATGTGTGAATGGTGATGATTCCAGTTTTGGTTGATGCAAAACTCCAAATATGGAGAGCTGTGCAAACCTGTGTGTGAAAAGTGACCTGTTCAGTTCTACTAGTTTTTATAACAACCATCAGGTTCCTCCCTCCCGTGTTGACAGACACTGTTTGTTTAGTTTCAGCAGTTTTGTGGGCGACGTTTCTGAGAAGCAGGTTCTGTCTTTTTTTTTTTTTTTTTTTTTTTCAGTCAAACCAACAGAACAGGGTCAGTTTGTATAAAAGGTTTAAGAAATGGAATAAACCTCAAGTTTGACTTTCAGATTCCTCAGTGCAGCATAGTGATTATAAAAGAGAAAGAGAGAGAGAGAGAGAGAGACTATAATTATGTCTGTGACTCTGGATGCATGTCAGGTCTGTCACGCCCGTCATCACAGCCTCATGCTCAGCTCATCATTAATGAAGCCATCAGTCCTCACAGAGTAAATTATGCAACAGTTTAAATAAGCGAATGCTCAGATGCAGCAGCAGCTGGTCTGCGTCCACGTCCAACTACACGACCAGTAAACAGACGTCTGTCTGTCGGCCCTGAGTGCTAAGTGTCCACGCCACCTCTCACCTGCTGTCAGCTGGGATCGGCTCCAGCACAGTGGTAAAGATAATGGAGGGACAATCAGGACGTCCCACTCCTCAGGTCAAGACCCAGAGGTTTACCAACAGCTGAAGAGCCAGGGACGTATATGATGGATCTTGATGATTAAGGGTTGTTTGTGTTCCTGCAGCGAGGGCACAGTTCAGACCTGGTATCTGGACTTTATCAGCAGAAGCACTTCAACCTGCTCAGACAATAATCTCTGCTTGCGTTGCTGTTGTTGTTAAGCTGTATTGTATTCTGTATTGTAGTGGATGGCCCTTTCATTGTTATTAAATCGTACCTTCAGGGAGATGAACCAGCGGTGAAGAGGAACGAGCAGCGCCTGGCGTCCCTCAGGGAGAGCAGCAGCAAAATCTTGCCCCTGAAGTTACGGCGAACCCTGCCCACCACTCCCACAGCGGCGGTGTCGCTGTGTGACTGGGCCGACGAGGAGGTAGGAGGGGATCATCTGCACACGGCCTCTTGTGCCTTTCAGACGTTTTCACTGTCATCGCCTCCATCGTGTTGACGTCTCTGTGTGATTCAGGACACCGTGCGTCGCGGGGACAAGCTCGTCCTGAAGTCCAACTCCGACAATAAGGACTGGAAGCTTCAGACGAGCAGCGGACACATCAAGACGCTTCCTGGGGCTTGTTTCATGATCCCACCGCCTGATGCTGAGGCTCTGGAGAAAGTCAACAGGTAAAGACTGTGAAAGCTCACACGGTGTTTCTACAACAGATAAATAATCTTGTGAGTGACGATGGAGTTGAGTGAAACACGTTGTGTGTGTGTGTGTGTGTGTGCGCTCAGTCTGGACCGAGCCCTGAAGGACCTGAAGAATCGTAGATCTGGACTAATGGCCTCACTGAGGAATCCAACTGTGGAGGTGGTTCGCCCTCAGAAGGCAGGTGAGAGGAAACACATTTTCAATCATTTACAATAATTTCCTGGAGAACTCCTCGAACCTTGAC